TCTAGTGGTTCGGAAATCATCGTGATCTTGTTCCTGAAAAAAAGACCGATTATGCAATAAAAAAGGCTGGAGAGAGAAACGCATACTTTTTATTTGGCGTTTCAGCAAAACATTTCAGTGACGATGTCTCCACAACGGTCTCACAAAATGTCACAACAGGATCAGCCACTTTGATATCAATTTCAGAGAACACCTGAACAACCCATCAATAGGCATACTTGGTGAAAAAGTATAGAAGTAGTATTACCTTTCGCATATCATGCATAACGCTATCCATATACAATTCACCGGTTCCTAGAAGTACATGTTCTCCAGATTCTTCGACACGTGTGGTAAGCAGTGGGTATGACTTGTTGACCTAGAACGGTAACAGTTGGTAAGACTGTAGAATATGAAATAACCAACTTACTTTTCGCAAACCATCCAACATTTTCGGCAATTCTGATGGGTTAATTGGCTCGATAGCCATCTTGACTACACTCTTTGTGTTGAATTTCAGTGGTCGGAAAATGTACATCTAAAACAAAAAGCTTTTGAAAAATGTAAATGAACGACAAGAATACTGACGTCTTCCTCATATTCCAATTCGGCTATGGTTGAAGTCTTCACAATAGGTTGATCGATACCTTCGATAAGGGCCCAACAACCAGCCGGTATTCGAGAGACTTCAATTTGGTACCTAAATCAGAGTGGGTAGGGGAATTGTGACAAACTTGGCGTAAAATGGTTTTACCTAGCCACATGAACCCACAGCCTACCGACTGTTAGACGCCGACAGTCTTCTTCATCCTGTAATCGGGTGAGCTTTGCAAAGAAGAAAAACATAAAAATGATTGCAAAAATAACAAAAAAAGTAATACAAAAAGCTAGAAAAAACTGAAAATCTGTATAGAAATTGATGAAAAAGTTACTAGGTGGAGGATATGAATAGAATTTCTTTACCTGAATACTGTAATTCTCTCCAAGCACCCGCACATCTGCATTGCTTTCGATGGTACCGCTCATGACTCGACCAAGCACTCGGAAAGAGGTAGCGTCTGCTGTTGGATAGTTTTTGGTAGTGTGAACCATCAGTGGACCCTAAAGTAACATATTTTCAGATTTTCACAACGGTTCCTATAGGGTTATGCTTACATTTGCTTCACATTTGGACATCTCCGCTGCTAGCTTACTGTCAGCAGGACCAAGCCAAATGTGCTCCACTTTGGTCTTTGCGTTCTCTATTGGTGATTTAATGTTCTTCACGACCAGGTCCACAAATGCTGGAAAAATTTCAGCTATTACAGGAATCAACAAGTAAGGTCGTCACTTACCTTTGAAGTCTCCAAAGAAGCGCTTGCAGATAAGAGCAATCAGTGGTCGCACATTCATTTTCTGCTCTTCTTTTGTAAGCTTGATGTTCAATTCAGACATCATATGCGGCAAACAGGTATCCACATCTCCCA